TGCTGAACTGGAGACAGAGAAAACCTGAATAAACAAACATGTGCCACAGATTAGTAAGAACATCTGTAGGTTTTATATTGTTTTGAGAACACATACCACATAGTTTTTCATTTCTTATGCTTTTCTAGTTTCTCCCTTTCTTTCTGTGCCTGTTTTCATCTTCTTTTTAAATATATTGCTAATAAAGATTGGAGGTAGAAAGCACAGCTGGACTCTGCATGACATGCCACTGTTTAATTTCTAGCTCGGAGGATGAGAAGAAGAGTAGTTTTATTGTATCCTAGAAGAGAATAAAGCCACATGCAAATTCCAGCCATGGACATCTGTTTCCTCTTTGTGTGAAAGAATTCTCATATTTGGAAGGGAATCCCAGTTCTGAAGGGGCTGATGAGGGTTTTTTTTTTCTTTTGGTTCTTCCCCCTCTTCTTTGCCACTCCATCAGCATGCTCTCCTTGCTCCCTGGCTGCTGTGTTTCCTTAGGGACAATATCAGCTTGCAATTTAGCATCAGAGATTGAATGGCGAATTTTGAGTTAGTTTAAAATGTTGTGTTGTAGTTACTAAGCCAATTTAGCATCAGAGATTGAATGGCGAATTTTGAGTTACTTTAAAATGTTGCATTGTAGTTACTAAGCTCCTCCTTAAACTTCTTTAATAGAATGGTATTTGGCGGGAGGACTTTTGCTCTGTGATCAATCTTGAGTACTTGCAGGTTGGTATTTTTTTTTAGAAGTGGAGATGTGTGTATCTGTTGCTCTGGCTGTGAAGTGCAACTATTTCTAGAAGTAACTTATTAAAAGTAATATTTTAAAATCCTTCTGTATCAGTGGAATTAAGTAGATCTGTAGAAATAAGAATCTGCAATATTCATTACATTAAGTTAGGCATCAGGTGCCAAGATCTAAAGGGACCAGAGTAAACGATAATTTCACTAACCTATAAAACATTTTAGAATAATGATTTACAGCTGTCTGGGGACTTTAAACTTTTTTGTGTGTGTGTGTGTAAGAGCTGACTCTTTTGAACAAACAGCACAGTTACATAATATTAGGCCAGACATGAGAACTGGTACTCTCTGTCTATTTTGTATTAACGTCAAATGAGAGGTTGGTGGAGCTCGCCAGGGTTTCATATTTGCTGGCAGAAAGTTACCCACATGTGTGGACCACATTTTTATTGTTGCCTTAGCCTATTTCAGGCATAAATATCGCTGCCTGGCAGGGTGTGATTCTGTTCATTGCTGAAGAGCTTTTCTTTTAAAAAACAAAATATGAAAAGGAATTAAATGCTGTAAATCTTCAAATGAAGAAGTGTCCCCAGACTGCAAGATTTTGTCACGTCTCTCGTGGTAAAGGAATGGAGGGCAATAAGCCGTCTAAAGGCTTTTTCATCGTTGGATGAGTTACCCTTGCAGAGCTATTGCTTTTTGCATATATTAATCCTACTTTTGGGTGTGGGCTGTTTAGTCTAGTCTCTTAGGGAAACAAGGCTTATGCAAACAGGGTGTATGCACACACGAATGCGCAGCAACTGTGCAGCCCTTGGACATGTTGGCCATGGAAATGTGGCAGAAAGGCTGAGGCTGCAAAGATAAATAGAAGCTCCTATAAGTTTCTTGAAAATACATGTGTGAGGGGAGAATAAAGGCAATTAAGGAGCTTGAGGGAAGGCTTACAATAGGAATTGAACTTTCAACAGGGGCTGTGGAATAGATATCAAGAGGAAATGTGATGAAGGTCCCCGTCGTGTGAAGATCACCAGAACTAGCTTGGAAATTATTTGGCTTTGGAGAATCTGATGACAAAAAACAAATCCGCAGGAAGCCAGACTCCCTTTCATTCCAGTACCCATGAAATTACTTGTGTGGGTTTTGGTTTGAAGTCAGGATGTTGTCAGGCTGCAATGGAGGACTGTAAGAAATGAAGATGTTTCCTGTTAGGATGTTCTTGGTGCAGGCAAAGGTGCTGCTCTGCTTGTCTTTGGTGGCGGTGCTTCCTAGTTTGTTTTTTGCAAGTCTTCAAATTCAATTCAAGTGTGATTTATGAGTGTTTAGGTCCTTATCCTGCAGACGTCTTGGAGAGGAGGGAGCCCAGCGACTGTGCAGATCCCACTGATGTGCATCCAAAACCTTCGCAGGCACTTCGGAAGCCTGTGGGGTGCAGCATCTTGTGAGGTGCACAGGGAAAAGTGAAACCAATAATCCCCACCCAGTTCTGGTCCCCACTGAGCAGGACACGGAAAGCGAACACCACTAACGCTGAAAATCAAACGGCAGTCATGAACAAATTTCCTCTTTGATTGTAATGCTGCTAGCTAGGAGATAAAAAGGGGTTTATGTCAAAAGCTTCCCTTGTTGTCTTATTAACAGCTGCATAATTTTACCACTCATTCACGCATATAAAAAAGCAAAACTTGGAGACTGTATTTGAAAGCTTGTTTTGTTTGGTGTACAGCTGGATACAGAGCATTTCCTTTTCTCTCTTTTAGCAAATTTGAAGCAAATGTAGTGATTATTATTTCTTTTTTTCCCCTATTTTTTGCCCTAGATAATAGAAGATTATGTTGCTTTTCATTTTACATTGCAAAGAAATCATGCCATTTAACTCCAATTCAACAATGATGCAGCAGCATGTGGATATATATATATCTTCTCATAAATATATTACCACACATTACTGTCAAATAGCTGGGCTTTTCCACCCAGTATTAAAAACAAAATTTAATTGCCACACTAGAGTTTCAAGGCCCTGATAAATAAGAGCCATGTCTGACCTTTATTGTGGGGCTCTGAGATGCCACCAGGGATATTGCTCATTGTTCAAGATGACAAACTTCCTCTGAGATTTCAGTTTGTCAGCTCAATGTACAGCAGTGACATTGATTTCTTCTCACTGCCATTTCCTGCCTGAATAGATAACAAATTTTCTGTGGCAGGTGTCTGTCAAGCTTAGTTTTGCCTGGCAGATTAACTTAATAGACTCATTTATTAATCATTAGTTGCAACACAGTGAAGCAGACAATACTCTTTAACTCTTGTGATGTTGAATGGATGTACCAGTTCAGATGCCTTTGTGTAGCTTGAATTTGGATTTAACAAGCCATTCGTATCTCTGTAGTGAATGTTCTTAACATGACATTGCTCATGTTACAAAGAGAAAAGATTTATCTATTAGTTGTGTGACCCATTTTGAGAGTACACTAATTTTCATGGCAAGAGGTGCATAAGTGCTTTCTGAGACTAATAAAATGATGCACAAACTACAAAATCAGCCTACATAAGGGGCAAAACCAACATGCATCATGCTTGAGGAAGGAAGATAAGAATAGGAGGAAAAAAATAGATACTTGGAATAAGATTTGAATCTGGGGCTGACCGGCTGTTGAAGAGAGAACTGCAGAAGCATTTAGGAGGAGGCAAAGCAGACCTGCAGATACAGCTGTAGGGCAATTCTGGCACAGGCTAGTATTTGCACAGGGATTCTTTGTTCTGAGATGTCTTGAGATAGATACCCCAGCTGGAGATAGCAAAGGCAGGGGTTGGTACCAGAGGTGGATATTGGACAGGGCTTGTCAGAAGGAGGAAGAAGAGTCAGAAGAACTTAGTGGAGAGACTGGAAGAGGAGAAATCAGTAAGGAAAAGCAAAACCATGGGAAGTGATGTCTCTTGTTGCAAGAAATCACTCTGTTCACGGTGAAAACTGATGTACTACACATGTTGGCCCTGCACAGCCTACGGAGCTGAGGGAGAAGTATGTTTGCTTTTTTCCCCCTCTGTTAAGAGGACTGTAAAGGAACTGGAAATGCACAAGCACTGCTGGGGACACAAGGCGGCAGGAATGAGCCTAGGTAGAGATACAGGCTGTTGCTGGACAGAAGAACCTCTCACAGATGATGAGAAGAGAGCCACCAAGCTTCTCCCTTGGGTTTTGGTTGGGTTGTGGTAGCTCTTCATGACCTGCTTTTAATTCTCAAGGGGGCTTGTTAATGTGAGATCACTGGGAGATGTTCAGGAAAGTTTCTGCAGCTGATGGCCAAACTGCAAAGCCCTGGTTGGAGCACAACTGTTCTCAGCTCAGCGCTTGTGAGAGTGTGTATTGCTGAAGATGTTTTTTTACCAAGCTGTGTTCCTGGCCTTGGGAGCCTGTTTCTTGAACCATCCTTATGGCTTTCTTGGCTGAGCATCAAACCAAGAATGTCCCTGCACTAGATCATAGCGCTTATTGCTCTTCTAGGCCACCCTGGTAACAATACATTAACCTCTCAGCAGGGAATGTGATAAACAAAGTAAAACTGCTTTAGTGAAACCAGTCATTTAATGGCAGCGTTCATAAAGTGTCCTTAAAGATTTGTAAATGTAATAAGCTGCAGTTCGCTGAGTGAAAAATAACTGTTCCTAATTTAGCCAGTCGAGGAACATGCCAACCTAATTTGCTTTTGTAACATTATGTTGTCGTGTTTTTTGTTTCCCCACCTCTCCAGATTCCTTTCTCTCTGGTACAATTTCCCCTCTGGGAATCCTTAAAGGTAAGTCCTCTTTAATGATAGAAATGTAAGTTACACATTTTGCAAACGCTTTCCATGGTAACTTAGCTAACTTAATTATCACAATTATGGGCACATCCAAGAATCGCTAAGTATGTACCAACCTACCTGTCCATGTGAAGGTCATTTCCCTGAATATCTGAAAAATAACAGGGAATATCTAACCACTCATATGAGGCATGCAGTCTACATTTTACTCCCCAACATGCCAGAAATCTTATCTTCTGCTCTAGCTTTTTTTACTGGTTAAGGAAGGGGGAAACATCTTGTGTTGTGCGATATTTTTTACTTTATTTTAGTTTTTTTAGTGTTTCACTCTTCAAGATAACAGGAAATTGCAAATGATACAGAGAAAACTCATTGAGCCTGGTTTTGTAGATAGGGAGAGACTCTCAGTGCATCACTGACAAGCTGTTTTGATTGGCTGCATGTACTTTATTTAAAGGTCATTTAAAGAAGGTGTCAATGGATGATGTTTTAATAGTTCAGTCTTTCAGAACGATGAGCTGTTCTCCCAACGGGTGGTTGCTTTCTTTATCATGGACAGAGTCAGGGTCTAGATTTTTGAGCACAGAGTTGGATTTGAAGTCATGTAATTTCTCCATCCCTCTGTTTTTCCTTTAACTCACTGCAAAAGATGAAGGAAAGTCAGGGTTTTTCAGGTGCTTTGAGATCCTGGCTTGGAAGCACAGAAAACTATTGCTGATTGTTAAAAGCATTGTAGCAAAATAAACATTTATGAGAGAGGAGCAGGAAGAGAGTAGTTTTCTTCTTGATAAGGGTGCTGGACTTCTGAGAGAGCTTGGCATTGAGACCCAAACTGGGCAGAGGTACTGGGAAGGATGGGAACCGCTGATGATCTTCCTTGCCCCTTGCTGCTTCTGTTGAGGGAGGAGGGCTTAAGTTCTCCTTGGTCCTTGTATCCTTGGTTGGGACAATAGCTTATCCTCTCGCTGTGTGTCAGTAGCTTGGGTTGTTCTGGAGGGATGAGCCCAGAGTGTGAATGTTTGTGTGTAGAGGCTTCAGGGAGTCACATACAAAGGAGGAACATGAAATACATGAAGAGGTTTCACGGAACTGAGCTGCATTCCGTAGACGATTCTGTAGGTGCTTCATGAGCTCAGCCTGATGTGGTGTCTGGGTATCGTCCCATTGCACGGGCTAGGTTTGGCTGCCTTATTAGGAATCTGTTTCCCTGCCAGTGTCTAAGAATGGCTTTCTGTAAACTCTTCGGCAGTGATACTGGCCTGACCTGCTAATTGTTAGTACTGCAGCAGGGTTTGGGAGCAAGAGGTGGCAGTGCTGAAAAAGTGCAGTGTTCTTGCCAAAACCACATAGAAGAGCAACATTGTGTAGCTGTTTTCAGAATATAAAGTTGTTTTAACTAATGTCCATGTAGCTGTGACAATAAAATGTATTGTTTAGATTGCAGGCTTTAAAGACGACAATTTGAATTTAGCTAGCTACAGGAGTGAGCTGTAGCTAGCTAAATTCAGCTAAATTCTCATACTTCGGATGAGACATCATGTTTAACCTGGAGGTCAGTGCAGATCTGAAGAGAAACAAAACTGGGTTAGTTTGTTCCACGGACCAGATACAGTATGTTCTTCTGCATGTGAAACCAAAAGTAGAAAATGGCAAAAATCAGTCTTGCATGCTCCAGTCACTTTGGCACAGCACACAGAGAGAGCTCAAGGTTTGTCACATCAAAGCCAGACAGTGAAAGCAGAATACGTTTTGTTTATCTGAATGAAGGTCTTAAAAAAAATTGCCCTGACAGTATAACAAAAAAAACCCCAAAACATTCTGGTCCCATCAGCAGGGTGGATGTGGCCCGTAGCATCAATAGGAGTGTGATTCAGGGTAGGGCTTCTCATGGATGCATGAAGGGAGCACGAAGAGACAGTAATTACGAAGGAGTGCAAAGGACAAGAGACAAATGGCACGAAGCCTGAACGCAGACAAGTTTACTGAGGCTGTTGGTTAGATAATGTCTGAGGGACTATTCTGCCCTGTATTAATCCGATTATTTGAGAAAGTTAATGTGGGAGCAGTTGTGTGTGGTGTGTGTGGATCATCTTCCAGAAGAGAACAGAACAAGTGCTGTGGCTATGTCATTTTAAAAACTATTAGTACAAAGTTACATAAGCTGATGGATGATAGACTTAGTCTTATAATTCCCCAAAAAAAATGAGGAGAAGTATCCACTATAAAAGACAGCTAGCAAGGCACATGGAAGAAGAAGAGAGTTTCCTTTTCCTTCACATATGTGCTGGCTGCAGCCAGCAGCAGGGTGTTAAGCTTAAAGAAGCCTAATAAAGACTTGTCCTAGGCAGCAAATCAGGTGTTTCTACATCCCATTTTCTCTGTCTGCTTTGCTCCAAGCTTCTATGGTTATTCTTTATGCTTCCAGCTGGCTTTAGCCACATAGTTTACATGCACCATTTTCTTCTGCCTGTGAATGTAGACCAGCTGTCCTATGCGAGAGTAAACTTGCATATCGTGCACGAAACTAAGTTAGAAGGAGAGAGACTATCGTATAGATTACTACACTATAAGGTTACGTATGCTATGGGTGCTGGCAAAGGGGGTATTGCAGTAATTAGCAAGAAATAGATACTGCTTCAAGTACAAGCCTTACTGCCAGTTGTTCAGGTGAACACACGGTTTAGAAACAGTTAACAGACTCCTTAGTTCACGATGACTCAAGAAACAACAGTAAAGAAATTATGATGATTTTAATAAAAACCCACAAACTCCTCTTTTTTTGGATGTAGGTAGCATCCACTGCTATAACGCATGCTTAATGTCCTTTCTCTTCCCAAATCTGCATTTTTTCATATTTTGTTTTAGGCACAGATTATTGATATAAACCAAGGGGAGAACAAAATAGAGTTTGAAAAAAACCCTACAAAATCAAGAGCCTCTGGCTGGGTTTAAGTCCAGCATCATCTTGTCAGAAATGCCGGCTGCTTATGTCTCAGTGGAAATGGTCAGCTCCCTCGGAGAACAGTGCTGCATGTAAAATAAACCCATCTCAGGTGAAACAAGACTCGGTCCTCTTGGGTTTTATATTTCTGCGTGTTGGCTGCACTTCAGAGCCTCTGAGAGTTACTGCAATGCAGCTGTACATAGAGAATGCTGTCTTTATAGACCAAATGTATTGTATGTCTGGAGAAAAGGCTCTGGTAGCCAGTGAGGAGGGAGGGAACAGGCAGGACAGGAAGACATAGGTCTCAAATGAGTAGACTTGAAAAATAAGGGGGTTTTTGTTTGGTTGGTTGGTTTTTCTAAGGAGAGAAAACAAACCTACTATCCTGGGAACCTTTTGTCTTTTTCATTAAATACGTCTGATTCTGAGATGAGACACTTGGATGTTTCTAAGACTGTATAACGTCAGGGTCAGGCTGACTTCAGCCTGCAGACTCTGCGCCAGCAAGTCCTGCTCTTGTGCACACAGCCTCTCTGGGAGGGCTGGCACAGACTGTACTGCTCCGCTGGCCCAGGATGTGCAAGGAAAGATAAAAATCTTGGACTGACCATGCTCAAGGTGATGTTCTGACTCTTCTGGCACTCAGTGGGGCCAGGATTTCCCTCTTTGTCTCGGTGCTAGGCAAAACCTAAAGCTCTTAGACTTTCTGCAGCTATAGTAAGCCCTTGAGGTTTTTTGTCACTGGCTTTTGCAAAAGGATAATTTTCTCAAATCTGAAGGTCTCACAAATTAACAGGTCTTCTACAAAGAGAGATATTTGGTTGGACCTTCAGAGGCAATAGCTAGAGATAGGGAGCTGAGATACATGGGCAGGTGTCTCTGGTGGGATTTTATAATGACTATGGTGGCATGTGATAATGGTGTAAGATGCTAAACAAGCAGAGGAGTGCTTTGGTGGCTTCAGGAGGAGAAAATGCTTTGAAGAGTACACACAGGCACATTTTCACCCTGTGAAATAAGTGGGGCATCACAGTGAAGAGAATGGGTAGAGTCCAGCCATTCCCTGCTGAGACTGAGCAGTAGCAGAAGGTTGGTTGGGTCAGAACAGAAGTTCCCCATATTGTTCCTAAACTGGTTTCTGCCCACACGATGGAGAGCAGGCTTGGGATTGGGCTTACACTTCCTTAGGTCCCTTTTTTCTGTCCAAGTTCAGCTGTCACCTCAGGTAAAAGGCACTTGTGTTGAGAGGAACAGAGCTTGGGAAATCTGCCGGTGGACTGGACTATAGATCTACATGAAGGCATTGGCAGGTGTATTTGTTTGCTTGGTTCTCTTGGTTTTCCCCTCCAGAAAGCTCAACTTCTGAGGGCTGGTATAGGCAGTATAGGGTGTGAACAAGTCTGGTTCGAGGGTGGGCTCAGCCTTGCTTGTAGTTGTCAGTGCAGATATACCTCTGCGACATAACCTTGAAGCATGCTGTGCAAAGACTGCTTGGTGGGTTTCCATGGAGGGCGAGGACTCTAATCTTGGTTGGAGCTCATTGCACCTGAGTTTTAAAGTTAATAAGAATGAAAGGTTTACAGAATGCTTCTGCCCAGGCAGCTGGGGTTCTCAGCAGTAATACGTGTTTATAACTCCACCACTGAAACAATAAACCACATGCTATTTCCCTCCTAAAATTTACAATCAAATCTGTTGCTGTTTAACAGAAAGTAGAGGAATGTACTCTAAAATGGCTCTTTCCCTGCCCTATAGGTAGGTGACAGCTTTCCTTTTTTCCTGGAGAAGCTTTTCTTTTCTGCTGTGCTCAGCTGCATATAAGTCAAGAGTAAATGAAACCCAGGCCCAGCTTCAAACCCATTTCCTTGCAGGCAGTGTAGTAAGTGTTCTACCATACCTCGCTCCCTCTTTGAGTAATGATCGGGCTGATTTAGGGATTAAGTCTTAATCGTTAAATAACGCTAACGTGTCTGCCATTTGCTTAGGTGCTGTATCAGGAAAACAGATTTCCACGGCAGTGTTTCAAGGCGTGATGTAACTTGCGGCCAAT